AGACCCAAAAAGCTAAAGTGCCTCTGGGTCCCTTGCATGGGGTACAACTGGCCCTAGTTATCCTGTATAGTGAGAGGAAATAACAGCTCCTCAGATGCAGCATAATGCGAATGTCTCACCCAATTCAGATTATCCAAACAAATGCCTGTTTGCTTTCTAGCGACTCCGAGGAACGTCCGTCCTCTTGGCAACAATGTCCAGAAGTGATGCTGCGCACACCACGTGCCACATGGCCCCAGCCGGGCAGTGAGGCCGGCAGGGACGAGGGGTGTCAGTGCTCGGTGCAGAAACAAGTCCTTTCGTTCTGTCCGGATGCTCCCCATCGTATCTGGGCGCGTTCTCACCCGTGAGCAGCTTCCGCCTTGCTCCAGTATCATATTTGTAGGTATGAGAGATTCGCACGAGAGATTTGCAGCGGGTCTACCTACCGCCCAACCACCACACGGGCAAAAGCCCTTTTAAAGAGGGGGTTTGGGCACAGGAAGACTGGCCTGTCGTGTCTGGAGAAGTCCACCTATGACCTTAAAAGCGAATTACTCCACAACTTCATCTACTGAAAACAAAGCAATGTTTTAAAGGAAGGGAAATGCACGCAAGTCTCTTTGCAGAAACGCCAGACCATCTCAGCTGTGCAATGGCACACCTAATGCTTACCCCTAACGTGTGTACTGTACCCCCAAAAAGGCTCGCCCTTCGTTATAACATACAGCCAGGTTCAGTGGCCGAAATACAGCTGTGTGCAACAGGCTCGGGGTCAGGCAAAGGTCTCTTAGTTATGCTGGAAATCTCTCCCTCCACCATAAATGTCCGTATTTACCCAGGGACTCAGTCTCTCCCCGCAGCAACTGTAACTGCCCAAAAGCAGATGAGTATTACGGTGCTTCAAGTACCTTTCTGAACAAAAGCCAAAGTCCATCACATTGACAGGAAAATTATAGTTCTTTTGTTCATTTCCCTTCTCTCACCTTTTTGCGGAAATAGGAAGAGCTCGGTGTTAAGTCCTACCCCGAAAGCACTTAAATTTCCAGACAAAATAGTTACAGGTGTCATGACCTGGGGAGCAGCAAAGTTGAATTAATCCACATTTTCAAGAGAGTCACAATAAAAAAATCTTTATAGATCACCAAGCGACATTTGGAAAATTTAAGCTGTTAAATATATACTCCCCTACTGCTAAAGAAAAGCTGATCACGTAACAGAATACTGAATGAAAGTCAGAAATCATAGCTCTATGCAGTGCCACTGTATTTTAAGTAGTGCAGGTATTCTGAAACCATTTTCTTCACGAAAGGTCATCCTAAAGATACCACCATCAGAAGGCAGAATGATGCAGAGAACCTACTCACAGAAATATTTGTATTTTAGATAGCACTAGGTTCATTTTTTTACTATAGGTTCTTCTTTTGCAAACCAAGTGGAGTGGATGTCACTCCAGTGCATTTATTCCTGCTAATACTTCCAAATGACCTTAATGTTCAGCACCGCAACAAGATGACACAAAATAACAGGAATCAGAGAAAACAGAAAAATCCTGGCAAAATGAAAGGTGTGGAAAATATATACTTCTAATAATAGAGGCAAAGAGAAATTTAAAGACACGAGTGTGAAGATTTTAGAAGAAATGGAGAACTGCTGAGCCCGAAAGAGAGAGGGAAAGGGAAAGGCTTTCAGGGACAAGAAATTCAGATGTGAAAGAGGAGGAGGAAGATGAGAAAAACACTTCTGGATTTTTCTGTGGACAGACCGAAGGATGTTTACCAGGACTGTCACGTGGCTAGAAAGCCAAGGAAGACACTTGGTGAAGATGACGGTGCTTCAGGTAGGTGCCAGAATCCAGTGATCTCCTGGCCACAGATGAGCAAATAGCTCAGTCAGTGATTTGTCATTGACGCTCTTGGCAAAGTCGCCAGTTACCGTACAGCCATTGATTTTTTCAGGTGTTTCCAAGCATAACCAAAATGCTGTGAAGACTCATGGGAAGTTTTAAACTTCTCCTGTGCAGAAAAGGGGGTGTGAGTGGTACATGGAGCAGAGTGATATCAGGCAACAAAACAGTGAGAACCGCAAAAAAATAAAGCAGATTTACATGAGAGTGAGAAAAAGGACGTAGACGAGAACCATGCTGCTGGAAATGCGGATTCAAAGGAGAGCCCAAACTGGGCGCCTTTCCTCCCTCTTGACATTTCCTCTGGTTGTGTCTTGAGCAGCAAGAACAGGTGAGTAGTAAAACAGACCTGGGTGGGGTACAGAAAAGCCACTCCATAGTGTTAAAAACAACCTGTCACATCTTCCTATTGTCTAAACTGGCTTAGCTCCACCAGTTTCATTGTATGCCAGCCGAAGACCTGGCCAAATGCACTAGGTAAGCGGAAGGCAGCAGTTCCTCTTACATGCTTCGCTTTGCCTGTGGGCAGGTCCCAGCAAGGCATATGTTGGTTCCAAGGGAAGATACTGAATGACGGATTTAATCTTCCTGATGAAATGGAATGATGCTAAAGTACCTAACTTGTCAAACACACCTTGCAACAAAATACATTGTTAAAAATTTGCTTGACTCAGCTATGTAGTTGTAAAGCCATGCAAAACAGACGGTTTGAAATTGCCTAACTTCAGACACTGAAAGGCAAACGCTGCTGTCCAAACCTCTCTGCAAAGGTATAGTTTTACAGTAATTGAGATAGTACGTAATCCAGTCACATCCCTGCACACATCAGTAATACAGTACTGAGAAGTCTCCTGGTTGTTCAGACGCAGAAGGAGCTGCGTGAAGCATTGATTCACGCTGATGAATTGTAACCAAGCAACACTGCCAGCATCCCTCCAGCCCATTGTTCATCTGAGCCGGGGAGAACAGCAGCAGAACAGCACTGAAAACCTGCCAAGCTCCGACTTCCCCAGTTAAAGGATACCATCCCTCCAACGCTAGATATAGCAAAATCTTTAACCAAAACTTAACAGAAATAAACTGTTACTTCCCTCTCAGTAAAAAGATAATAACCTGCCTGAAGGCAGCAAATGAGTTTCTGTGTGTTCACAACTCTCTTGTAAATAATCTTTACAAAAAAAACAGTTCAAATTTACTTTACATGAAAAGTACAGGGCAATGAATTATTCATCTGAGCAGAGGGACAGAAATACTGCCTTTTTGTTAGTCTGGCTATGAGATGCTGAGGGAAACCAAAGACAACTTTTGCAGATACAATAACTAATCAGTAGTGGCACAGATGAGATGGAAAGGAAGTAGGTACCAGAAAAATTTGTTCAGTGAGAGTTGGCAACTGTTTTCCACGTAAGTGTCTGAAACCAACAGTTAACGCACAAAATATAGCTACTCCATCATCATCAACACAAACCTTATTATCAACAGAGGCACTGAAAAATGATGTTACAATACTGAATTTTTTCCTTTTTTTGCAGTTAAGTCTGAGTGGTGGGATTATTTGCTTTGTTTAATGCCACAGGCCTGGACATCAAGACCAAAATTCATTGTAAAATGATCCACCATTGCTCTTCACGGGAATGAGAAGACAACACAGCCTGCCAACAAAACTGTCTGTTACTAGAGAACCTGAATTTTCAAGATCTGCCATAGCCTCCCCATTTTACCAGGAAAAAAAAAACCAAACAACATATGTATAACTTAAGAATAAGATACAGAATTGACTTGTTCTTATAATGTAGAAGACTGGCTAGCAGCTGTGTGCATTTCTCAAGAGTATAATAAACCAAAGCACTGACCTGTAAAACAGAAATAGTAATAACATCTGCTAGACTTCTGGGCTCTGAAATCACATTCCCCGAGAGCAAGTTTCCAAACGAAAGGCTCGGCACTTATGTCAGATACCGCTTCCCTTTTCAATCAATTGTGCTTCTCTTTTGGAACTTTACTTAAAAGCCTGAGTGCAAAACCACATACATCTCTTCTCTGGCAATAAAAGTAGTAAGGCAAGGTAACAAGCTGCCATGGCATTGGCATAAAACCAGATTTATCAATGTCTTTCAGAATTTGGGACATATTCACAGAATCACAGAATGTTAGGGGCTGGAAGGGACCTCTGGGGATCATCTAGTCCAACCCCCCTGCCAAAGGACGGTCACCTACAGCAGACTGCACAGGAACTCGTCCAGGTGGGTCTTGAATATCTCCAGAGAAGGAGACTCCACAACCTCCCTGGGCAGCCTGTTCCAGGGCTCCATCACCCTCAGAGGGAAGAAGTTCTTCCTCATGTTCAGACGGAACTTCCTGTGTTTCAGTTTGTGCCCATTGCCCCTTGTGCTGTCGCTGGGCACCACTGAAAAGAGTCTGGCCCCATCCTCCTGACACCCACTCTTAAGATATTTATAAGCATTTCTAAGATCCCCTCTCAGCCTTCTCTTCTTCAGGCTAAACAAGCCCAGCTCCCTCAGCCTTTCCTCATAGAAGAGATGCTCCAGTCCCCAAATTATATTCTCAGCCCTCCGCTGGACTCTCCCCAGTAGTTCCTTGTCTTTCTTGAAAGTTCCTCATCTTTTTTATTGGATCACCCTCTTTGCATACTCCCTGCTCTTCTTTTTTAGTCCTTTTCTACAAACCAGGTTCCTAGATGTGGTCTTCTCAATCCCATTGTGGCAGAGCAAGCAGTCCTATATTCACTACTCTATGTGGAGTATCACTGGGATCTCACACTGACAGAAACACTGCTGCTTCTTGGGCTCTCTCTGCGTGGCAGTTCAGGGTCTTTCTCCTAAGTCCTTGACACTGCCAAAGGTTTTGACACTCCACAGAACTTCTTACAGGGTCAAAGTCTGCTCTCCCATGGCATGGATTCCCAGCAACTTCCTCTCAGTTGTGAGCAGATATTTAAAGCAGAACTTGGTTTCATCCTTTTCTTTTCCTCATACGTTTGCCAGATGGCTTTATTTAATGTCTGTTCCCTGGACTGGCTCTTAGATTGAGTTTTTTCCTCCACACTTGCCATCTGCTGGTCCAAACAGCTAAATGATACTCTTGCTTTTCAATCTCACACCATTGATTCATTCTTGCTGTCTACTTGGCATCCAAAATAGTATCGCGGGCAGACGGGCAGGTCCGGGTAAGGCCTCACTCCACCAATGGGAAATTTCTCCTTCTTGTGCCTTTGAGAGCCACTACCGCAGGAGCAAAGTTGTTAGAGCAAACGAAGCACAAAGCCACAGTGAAAGAAAAGTATTGAGAGGAACTGAACCATGTTGTCTCGATGATGGAAAGTGGTCTGTGTCGTGGCTATTGCCTGGAAGCAATTGGCAGCCCCTTGTACAAAGAGAAGACATGGTGCTGCACGGCGGCTAATGGCAGAGAACGGCACGTGCACTTCCAAAAGAAACAAATACTGTGCGGAAAAAACCTTTGACTCGGATCCTCCCAAGCGTTTTCCAGAGTCTTCGGCAACTGCCCTGCTCTTTGCAGCGACAAGGTCCGGCAGCTCTTGTGAAATAACTGACGTGCACACGGGTATCGTGCTCACGCCCTGCAGGGTACCGAGCCTGGGCAGCACCCCAGGGGAGAGGGAAGGGCCGGGGCAGGCTTCTGCAAAACCGCAGCAGCAGCTGGCTGGGGAGGCTGTGAGGAAGAGGACAGCGGCAGCGCACAGCGAGGAGGAAGGGAGCGGTGCCAGGAGGTCTTGCTATGACCCCACCTCAACGTCTAACCGCCAGGTGCTATTGAGCTGCCCGAATGTGCATGTTTTACCCATCGTGCTACTTTAATCTTAGAATTTTTTAAGAGACAATTCTGCCTCTTGAGTGTTTGCACAGTTCCATGCACAATAGCTCCTTGTGCTGGCTCAGGCCTTTGAACGCTATGAGAATACAATTAACTAATAAGAGCAGTAAAAGGCTTGGTGCTATTCATATTTGAGAAGATCTTGCACTGCTCTGGACAAATCATAGCCACAGCAACACTCTCAACAAACAAATCTGCTAATCCTCTCATTATTATTGTTGCTCTCTCTTAAAGGTAAAGACAGAAAAAAATTTTCCTGTAATGAAAAAATACTCTTTTCATATCTGAATGCCACAAAAGACCAAGAATTTATCCAAATAGCAAACAAAAGCTTGAAAACTCCCAGTTCAATACCCAAATTTGCACATACATTGGTCTTTTTCTGTTTCTCTTGTGTTTTTGGTGGCTCAGCTGACATTCAAATAGCCTGCCTGCTCTCAGGTTTGCATCACATGGTGACATGAGCGGGAACAGTGTGAGGTCTGGAGCACCCTGATCTCTTAACGTTTAGATAAATGCTGACACTACAGACCTGATCCTACTTTTCCAGAGCTTCCCACCTCAGCTATGAAGCTAATAAACTTACGCCAGCTGTTCAGTGTCCTTGGTCACAGCAGCCCTGATCCAACACCCATTGAAGCCAAAAGAAAGATTCCCTAATTACCCAGTGAGTATCAAACCAAGCGCAATTAGACTCGAGTGCAACTGAAGAACAAGATGTATAAATTCTTTTGCAATGCAAATTCCTTCACTACTGAACTGTACTGCACTGACCCGCCTGCTCCAGGTCTTCAAGCAATCTGGGACTTCATACACCACCCAGCGTCCAAGGGAGTGGCGCTGAGAAACAGATTTCTTGAAATTCCCAAGCTGCTTTATGTACTTCGTCTTAGCGGTTCATAAAGAAACGACAATTGGATTTCTGGTTGTCATCATCATGAATGGAAGGATAAAAATTCAGCGACAAGTTATGAAATGTTACATCTGCTCAAGAAGGTAGAACAGCCAGCCAAAAACAATGCGTCACAGAAATGTGTAAAAAGGCACCAGATCCAGAACAAGCCAGGTCTATATTTGAAAGCTGCACTGGTACAGATGTTAGTAGGTGTACTGAATAAAGGACAGGAAGACTGTACCACCAGTCTGCATATCCATGGTAACCAAGAGAGGACCTCCTGGGGAAATGAGTGATGAGACGGGGAAAAAAGGAGCTTTATTCTTTTCCCCTTTGCATTAGGGCTAAACAGCGTTCACATTATACAGTGAGATTATTTAGGTTGGGGTCGTGTTCACCCCCAGATGACAACAGCGATGAGGAAAAAGAACAATACGGGTTCATCAGCATCTTCAGTCCTCAGAGGGCTTGCCTAGCTTGCACTGTGGCCCATGTCTCTGCATGTTCACAGCTATTGTTCTGCCTAGGCTGAAGCTGATGCAAACACACCCAGTCATGTTACAGACAACCCATTATAACATATACAATACAGTACGGCACCCAAGACATGCACTGGTTGGCGGGGGCATGCAAGTCATAGAAAGGAACAACGGCCTGCTGTGCAGCTACCAGTATACAGCACCTAGGTATGAAGTACCAGTACAGCTCATGTCTCTGTGTACATGAGTATGTTCCGTATACATTTATGATGATGCAATTGCATCCGCTCTAGGCAAGGTTTGACAATATTTAGTGTCTTGTAGCTACTCATAAAAGTTCTATTACTGTCAAAGGACAATGTCCAGTGACAGAACGAGCTATTGCATAAGCAAAGAAATGACCAGGATCTCCGTACAACGCACAGTGATACCAGCCTTCTCCCACGTGTGCCTACTGCGTTACTCCAGTGATCCTAAGGGCAACCCCTTGAGCTCCCGCTCCTCTGCGCACCCCAAACGACCCTCGCAGAAGCACCATCTCTCTCCATGTCCTTCCAGTTACCATCCGCGCTGCAGCTGACACCGAGCTGAGCCCACGCGGACTGGCTTCTGGGTACCTGCGTGCTGAGCTGCCAGGCAGGAAGCCAAGGGGAGCAAAAGAAAGAGGCACCGTCTGCCCCATTGCTGTGTGTAACCTCTGAAGTAGCAGAATCAAAAATTATTACAAATACACTTACTGAGCTACTTTTAATAATCTCCTTTTCTTATTTGCCTGCCCCTGCCACAAATCTGTTTATTCCACTTGTGAGTCTGACAGCCCTCTGCACGTGGTCCGTTTCTCTGGCTCATTCCTGGTGCAGGTTCTCCCTGGGCTTCACTAGAGGCAAGAAACAGTGACATCAAAAAGAAAGGGGAGAGAAAGAAAACAGACGAGAAAGCCTTAACATACTCAAAAAGCCATCTGAACATCAAAACAGGAGCAGAAAAGCTCTTTCATCTTTTTAAATATATCTCTTGTTTCCATGCTGTACTATCTACAGGGTATTCTTTTTAATAGTCTGTTCTAAAATAAGTTGGGCATTCTCTTGTTACTAAATATTGTACGACTTGATAATCATGCAGCAGAGCAAAATAATTTCCTGATCTGGAATAAATTCTTAAATTCTACAATGTGTTTAAGAAAATGGGGCTTAAGTACCTTTTATTTCTCCAGTGATATATAAGCCCAGGAAAAAGTAATTTTCTCTCTATTTTAGTTGGGTTTGAAAGTCTTGGAATTTACAGTTGTATGTAAACAATTTAAACCTTCACTTTTACAGCTACATGAAATCAGTATTGATTTGTGCAGCACACAATATCTTCATTTCTTGATTAACTTCCCTTCAGGCTTTCACTGTAAGCCAGTGACATTTTATTAGAGCGATATCAGCGATACTTCTATTAATTTCCTTCATTACATTCAGTTGCTTGTAACTTTGGCAGGTGGTATAACTTTTAGGCCTTTTGAGTGGGAGGGCAAAAGGATTAATAGCTTGTGACTGAAGTCCACCCCACATGCAAGAGCCGAGTTACGGCTCCACAGTGAACCTTGGTTCTGACACACTCAGGTTAGTGCTTTGACTCAGCAAAGTAAACAACGTCTTTTTCAAGCAGTCTGCACAAAGTTGTCAGGGTGCTCTGGTTTAACACTTAGTATGTTATCAGACATTACACATCCAATACAAGTAAAAAAAACCATTTAAAAATTGAAGTGGTTTCCCCTGGCATTTGACCATCTGCTGTTACTAAGCAAAGTGTCTCAGAGTTTAATACGAAATGTCAGGAAGACCAGTTAAAATTTGAGCTTCATTTTTGCTAAGAATCTTCTCATGGAAGTAGACCACTTCCACGCTCGCACCAGCTCTCTCACCTACGCTAGCAAATGTCTTTCGTTTCCTTACCCTAACCTGTTAAAGCAGATATCATCTCCAGATCACTACACACTGTACAGACCTGTTGAGGAATACAGCATTGCAATGACACCACAGCAAACTTGTGGGCTGAGTTAATACGAGCTCTCAGCTTTAGTCCAAATTTGATAGCAAAGTAAACAGAGTTAGGGTGATGCAGAGTGCTATTGTAAATTCCAGCCCAATTCCATCCTGAAGAGTGGATGGAGAAAATAAAATGGTGTCATAATTTATAAATATTACAACAAAAACCGTATGTTGGTCAGTTTTATTTTGCCTTGTGCCTTCAGAAATAGAGGCTATTAAAATAACAAATAGTCAGATAAGAAAAGCTAATAGGAAATGAGGCTTTACACTGTGGAGATCCCACTGACAAAACTTAGTGCTGTAGGAGCAGGTGCAATTGGAAAAAGAAATTGCAAGTTTGTTTTGTGGCAATGGAAGCAGGCAGCCCCTGCTGAAGGCTCCCACCACCACCCTCCACAGATCCAGAGTCTCCATGACTCCAACAGGAAGATTCATACTGAGATGTACCTATTTGCACACATGGTCCTCCATTATAACCCCAATTATTGTTGTGATTGAACTAAATCTTGTGGCTTTCATTCAGAATAAGATTGCAAAGCAGCTAAGCTGGTTATTAAACCAGATAGTTGAAGCAACACAAATAAAACCTACAGAATTAGACTTACAGGTTTCAGTCTAATTGCCAGTAAACCCATTTATTTATTTCGCTTTCACTAAGAAACTTGCTACATCAGGCTCGTTGCAAGAGTTGTAGAGAAAATTTCTGCAAAGTTTCAAGAAATCTGACAAAAAATCTTTTGTGTACACATGACAATTTACAGTGCTCCCTGCTCACGGAGTCATTTGGCATCAGATTCACAGGACCAGCTTTTACTAAAAAATCCTCTCACCATGGGAAACATTATGGAAACAACCTCTTTACTCTAGAGCACATAGCATTTCCTTAAAGCGCTCCACCAGAGTCCAAATATAAACCCTCATATGCTTGTGCTAACAGTGCTGAGTTACACAAGAGAAGGTAACCAGCTGAAAGAGCA